TGCAGACACTGACAAAAAAAGACGTTTTGAGAAAAACGCATTTAAACTTTTAAAATGAAAACTTTTTAATATATCTTTTATAAATCGAACTTACGATTACTCGGCTATTTCGGAGCCATAAGAAGTACCTTCCTGAGCTTCATTTGCCATATTTAGCATTGATTTTGCCTGCCTACGAGCAGTTCTCGCCTCCTTTGTCTGTTGCTGCGCCTTGATCCTAGCGTGCATCAACCGGTTTGCGTCCTCTTGCTGACAATAATCGTAAGCGTTTCGTCCAATTTGTATGCCCAATACATCTAATATTCGAAGATAGGCATCGGCTCCGTCATTGAAAGTACTCGCAGCCACATAAGCAGCAGTTTCAATTATTCTAAGGCTGCCAAAAGTCGATTTCGGAGCGATCTTCCAAATTTTCTGATTATAGCTTTCATTATTGTTTTGTGTATAACCTCCTAGACACCTTTGCAGCAATTTTTTTTTACTTAGGGCTTCGTACACAGGTTTAATGGCTATTTGAACGATGTCTAGTAACGCAGGTTTATGTACGTAATTCTTGAGAGTCCCTGCAGTCTTCGCTTGCTGCCATGTGCACCAACTATCGGCTCCGGTCGGGCAATACATATGTTGTGGCTTTACGTCGGTGGAAATTTTATGATAAAATGTGGCCCAAATTGCGTCCTTCATATTTTTCACTGAATCACAATTATTTCTAATCGCCAAACCGTAATATACAGTTAATTCATCAATTAATGATGCTGTTAATTTTCCTTTGCCCTCGAGGCTCTGCGACTTCGATTTAGTGACTTTGCTGTTTCTTTATACGTTTTTTTAACGTTGCGAAGCGAGGTACCCATGCGTTTTTGTACATGTCCTACGCATTCTAATTTCTTCGGTATTATATTATCATATATAGAAGCTTTAACAATTGCTGAAAAAGTTTTTGAGTTGCCGTCTCCAATGTAGTATGCGTATACAGCATTATACAACTCAAGTGATCTTTGAAAGATTACAACAATGGCATCGGATTCCATTTTTCCTGCACTTCCAATATGATTTGCTGAGCATTGTTCTTCGTGATCTACTAGCCATTTTTCATATTTCATAGTACCTTTCTCTTTTTCGTGAGTCTCGCATTCTTTGCAGTAGGAACTTTTACAACAAGATCCATGACCTTTCCCATGTACCATCCGATGATAGTTGCAACACCAAAAAGCGAAGAAAATCCTCGTTTCATCCACGTTCCGTCTCCAGATACTTTAAGGCCGTCTGGTACATTTGGATGTGCAGCGTCATTAGTTAATTGTATTTCATTTTCAGCAGCCTTTTTCAGGGATTCCATACCGACGGCTTTCGCAGCAGTATGTATATTTTGCATGATCGCGTCGAACGATTTCTGTGCGACATTCTTGGGCAAATCCATTATGCCGCAAAAAAGCTGCATTCCTCGCTAATCCCTTACTAAGAATACGCATTGCAAAAGCAAATCGTCTATTAATTTCGTATGCACTTCCTATGAGCGGTGATGAACATACACTATTAATGTCTTTGTTACATGTAATACACTTAATGTTCAACTTGAACCCGAGTCCGCGAACACTTGATTGCAAAAATTTAATTTCGCCCCCACATCGTTTACAAACTACACAATCTGAAACTGCTGAAAAACAGCGGCGAATTGCAGAATGCAATACGAAAAGTTCGGATCAAATGAAATGTCCTCTTTTTCGTGCAATTTCTTCGCGGACGCGCTCGTGTAATTTGTCTCGCTTTCCATACTTT